CGAGTGTTGTACTTCGTATTCTGCACTACAGAGCAGAGAGCCAAAGTCGATGGACCCGTAAGTGACTATTTTCGACAGTCTAGTTCATCACTTAATGGGGACACCTAGTGTCGCATAAGTTCTATATCACAGGTTTAAACACGTCGATCTTGAACAATCAGGGCGAACGCCTAGAATCGAGTGGTAGAGCGTGTCTCATGTTTAATGGCTAGTGTTTTCTTCTACGCTTAGGTACAACACAGTGGTAATAATGGGCTGGCTTCTATGCAAAGAACGGTGCTAAAATTTGACAAAGTTGGGGTCCCTGCTCTGATGTAAATAACCAAGGGAAGTGAAAGCAAGTAGCTGGGACTACAGGCATGCGCCACCATGCCCAGCTAATCTTTTCTATATATATTAGTTCGCCAATTAATTTCTTTCTATTTATAATAGAGACGGGGTCTCACTCTTGCTCAGGCTGGTTTCGAACTCCTGACCTTGAGCAATCTGTCTCCCTTGGCCTCCCAGAGAGCTAGGATTACAGACGTGAGCCACCGCGCCAGGCCCAAGGGACAATTCTATAATCACAAACTCTGTGGCTTTACATGGCATCCTGTAAGATGTTGGGAAGACAAAAATCCACAGTTACCTTCTCAAAAAATACTATGTTCCTGCTATGTACCTGGCACCACTGATGCCCCAGGTACTGGATAGACAGTGGTGAAGGACACAGACCAAGTCCCTGCCATCATGCAGCTTCCAGGATAATGGGGGAAACACTGAGAAATAAATAAGCAAATAAATGCTAAAGGTAGGAGATGGGTGATAGGAAAAGAAAAAGTAAAGCAGAGTAAGTGGATAAAGAGGGATGCAGGTTGGTGGTCCAATTCTAGACAGCAGGAAACAGGAAGGCCTCTCGGTGAAAGCCATTTCCATTTCTTACCCCACTGTGGTCCCCAACCCCCGGGCCAAGGACTGGTACAGGTCTGTGGCCTGTTAGGAACCAGGCTGCACGGCAGGCAGTGAGCAGCGGGTGAGCAAATGAAGCTTCATCTGTATTTATAGCCGCTCCCCATTGCTTGCCATTCCCCTACCCCTCGACTCAATCCACGGAAAAATTTTCTTCCATGAAACTGGTCCCTGGTGCCAAAAACGCTGGGGACCACTGCCTTATCACAATAAAACTCCATGACGTTACATATACACACAACAAACACCTACTTCTCTGCCTTATTGAAAAATGATTAATGGGGCTGGGCGTGGTGGCTCACGCCTGTAATCCTAGCAATCTGGGAGGCCGAGGAGGCTGAGGTGGGCTGATGCGCAAGGTCAGAGTTGAACT